CAACGGCAAGCTTTCTATAATGTAGGATCCTTGAGAATATAGATATTTTTTAAACTTAAAAAATAACGATTTTCCTTTTTGAATAGGAGTTTTTCCTTTTTTATTGGACTTTTAACGGGAAATTACCGGTGCTTAAATAAAAAAAATGGCATATCAGAATCAGTGGAATTAAACTTTTTCTAAGAATGAAAAGAAGCATGAGAAGTGATTGGGAAAAGGAAAGAAGAAAGAAAGATGAAGAAAGGAAAGAAAAAGGAGAAAAAAGTAAAAGGTAAAAAATGGAGAGAAAAGAGAAAGGAAAATGGAAAGAAGGGAATGAAAATGGAGACGAAAATGAATTAGGAAATAAGGGAATTAAAGGGAAAAGAAGATATGAAAGATAAAGAAAGAGAAAGAAAGAGAGGGCGAAAATACAAGGAAAATAAAGGAATAAAAAAAGATAGGAAGGGGAAGGAAAAAAACAAAGTAAAGAAAGGGGAATAGGGCGCGGGAGGGGGGGGGGGGGTAAAAGGAAAAAAAATATGGAAATTAAAAGGGAAAAGAAAATTGAAAAAGAAAGAGGGGAAAGGGAAATTATAAGATGTGAAAGGAGAAGATAAGAAGAAAAATTAAAGGGGAAAGAAAGAAAAGGGAATATGGAAAGTGTCCTAGTTCGCAGTATATTTTTTTTGTTTATATGAAATTATTAAAATGTCAATTATTTTTTTTGTGATAAAATTTTTACATTTTTTTTATATGAATGGATTCTTCGTTTTTTTCAAAAAATGGATTGAATTATTAATTTTGTGATTAAATGGATTATTAATTTTTCGCTTAATTTTTAAAAAATGATTTTTAATTAGATGAAATTAAAAATACTTTTGAAGTCTTTTCTTATTAATTTAATATTTAGTATTAAAGTCTTTTCTTATTAATTTAATATTTAGTATTAAAGTCTTTAATTATTAATTTAATATTTAGTATTAAAGTCTTTTCTTATTAATTTAATATTTAGTTATAAGTTGAGTCTTGTTTCTTTTTAAGTATTTTTTGAAAGTAAGTTTAAGTTTAGTTTTTTTTACTTATTACATTTTTGTTAGTGTTGACCGTATTCCCTGGATCCGAAATCCAGGATTAATAAAAGGTAAAAACTAAAAAAAATTTCTATAAATATTTTAAATTTTTGGAACATAACGCAATTACTATCCATAAATATTTTTGATTAATTAGTTTTAAAATTTGGTAGAATAAAATTTTAGATTAATTAGGTTGTATAAAGCAAAGGCAATTTTTTTTAATATTTTGAAATTATTTTTTTAACATGGCAATTTAACGTAATATAAATTTTTCATATAACGAGATGGGCTTTATGCTTAATTTGATGTTCGGCCTAGTCTATTTAATATAATTTCGGAGTATCCGAGTATTACTTATCAAATGTTGTATAAAACTATTGATAAATTTGATTTAAATAATTCGTTAGTGACAATATTATTATTGGTCCTAATATATGTGTTATTTATTTTAGTAAAATTTTTACTAAAGAAATGTATATTTGTAGTGACAAAGATATACATTGATTTGAAAAAAAAACTGTGGTGTCAGATAATTCTTGTAATATTCAAGAATGTGTGGAGAATAGCACTATTATTAAAGAACCGCTAAATTCCGAGTTGAATTTATGTCAAATGTGAATTCTAATGAAACTGATGTTTCAGATAAAATAAATATTGATCAGTCAATTAAAACATATGAGATTTTAATGACTGAGAGATTAGTCGAACCTTATCCTTGTCATAGAGTTAGAGTAAGAGTTGACTCCAGGGACATCGATATGTTGTTCGACACAGGGGCTACCATTTCAATAATGTCTAGAAAAAATTATTATACTTATTGGCCTGGGAGCATATTTGGAAAAGAATCTATGTGTGTCAGACAATTTGATGGGTCTGAAATAGTAGTCTTGGGAAAAACCAAATTGGGAATCATTCTCAATGATACAACATTTTTCCTAGATTTATGGGTAGTGAAGAAAGATGTAGAGACAATCATGGGGTGGGATTAGATTACCCAAGGTCTTCATAATAATTATTGGAATATTTTTACAATAAATAGTGATTTGACCATATTTAATACGGAACGAAATAGTAGCCGAAATAAATTCCAAGAAAAGAAATGTTCGTTTTATTGAAAAGGGAACATTAACCGTCATTTTGGTTTAATCAAATATGGGAAATTTTTAAATATATATATGTGAAGATCATATAAACTATTGGTGTTAGTGAATGAATTATCAAAGGTGAAGATATGAGAAAAGAATGTTGAATATTCTTAACCTTAGTTAAATTCTTTTAAATTTATCAATTGGAAGGAATTGAATATGTAAAGAGGGTGTTCTTAAACCCATTTATGTAATTAATTGTTAATGATTTGATACCTGATATTGTAAAGAGGGTGTTCTTAAACCCATTTATGTAATTCAGTGACGAAGCATCCATAGAATCAAGGGAAGCATTGCTTCCCTTGAAATTTTTCTTACAATTTTTTTTAATAAACTTAATATAATCTTTGTACTATGCTAAATAAACTAAACTGACTTCGTTAAAAAAATTAATATAATTTTTATAACGTTAAAAAGACTAATATAATTTTTATAACGTTAAAAAGATTAATATAATTTTTATAACGTTAAAAAGATTAATATAATTTTTATAACGTTAAAAAATTAATATTATACTATATTAAAAAATACTATTATTTTTATTACGTTAAAAAAGTTACTAATTTTTACTACGTTAAAAAAAATATACATGAGGGATACAAATTTAATATTGCTTATTTTTTTTAATAAATAAGAGAAAATCATGTCATGGTATTGTGTAATTTTACCATTAAAAAATAAGCATTGGGAAGCAAATAAAAAAATGCTTTTTTTTTTAATAAATAAAAGAGAAAGGAATTTTTTTATATAATATTTTTTACTTTCTTTTAATAAAAAATTTTTCGTTTATCCTTAATTAATGTTTAATAATTGTAAATGTATTATTGAAATTTTATTAACATTATCATTTAGCTAAAGAAATATTGATGCGAAAAAATTGATCATTCAAAAAGGAAGACCAAACCCAATTTTACAAAACTTAAAAAAAGTAATCAAAACTTGCATCCGTAATTTTTCTATCGATAAATATGAAAAATATAAATGACTCACTGGATGTGAATTTTCTAATTCTCATATTGTTGGTCATGGCTATTATTCCCAAAGGAAAAATATGTTTGGAATGATAAAGGTTTTCAAATATGAATAATTTTTTAAAGGCAGATAAACGGCATGAAGAATCAACCGCTCATTTGCAGTCGATGATTCAATTAAAAACATTTGGCCAAAATCGTATTGAAAATATGATAGATTCGATGCGCAAAATATCAATCGAACAGCATAATTCTAAAGTCAAATAAAATAGAGAAATATTGAAAATATTTATCAACTCTATATATTTTCTAAATTTACTATTGAAACATCATTTAGAAATAGTGCAGTTTTTCTTGGACTATCAAGCGATATTCAAAATGATTTGATTAATTCTATTTCATATGTCTTACACCAAAAAATATTAAATTTGTTTTGTTAGAT